AAATTAGATTGGCTGTCAATACTTCAGGATTGATCAATATTCAGATCTATACCATAGTTTGTGAACTCTATAGCTTTCCTACAAACTAAAAAATAAATCCTAATATGGGTTATTTTCACCAAAGACATGTAGCAGAATACATCTCGGCCTAAATTTATGAAGAACAATTATTTATTTGCAAACTTTTATAACAGAAACAAAGAAAAACGTGTTTTTATTCACAATTTTCGGTCATTTTTTTGATAATTTAGCAAAAAATAAAAACCCCGGCGGTGATTAAATACCACCAAAAGAAAGCTCTAGTTGTGTGAAGAAAATGATAAAATTTTAGTTTGGGTACAATGTTGTATGACCGCGCAATTGTCATTCAAAGTGTGAGAGTGCTGAAACCTGAAAAATGGCCTGGGCAGGACGGTGTAAAATTGCCCGGTATTCAAATGGTTAAAATGCAAGAATCATGAAACATAATAAAATGAAATAAAATATGAAATATATAACTTATGCTTGTGTATAACTGCAGAATATATATATATATATATATATCTATATATATATATATATATATATATATATATGTATATATATATATATATATTATATGTATATATATATATATATATATATATGTATATATATATATATATATATGTTATATATATATATTTGTGGCAGTGCGGGTACTGATGAGGATGCACTGATAATCAGGGCACTGATGACCAGTGCCTTGATTATCAATGTAGATGTCCCCTCTGAAGAATGCCGCTTACCAGCTCTCCTCTCCTCAGGCGCTGTCAGCGTAAGGAGAGGACCGCCGATAACCGACATTTTCTGTTTACATGTGATCAGCTGTGATTGGACACAGTTGGTCACATGGTAGAGCCTATGTCATCAACTCTTTACCGCGATTGGTGATCCGCTGTGTCCTAGGGACACAGTGCACCACCGATCACTGCGTACCCCTTGGGGTGTGCATGCGCAGCTAGAGTGAGAGGACATCATGTGATGTCCTCACAGAACAAGAGAACTCCCACTTGTCCTTCATTTCCCCATACGGCGGGCAGGAGGTGGTTAAAAAAGCCAATGTCCATACCCACTTTCTATGCATTTTTTTTTAATCACCCGTGTAAGCTTCTCCCGAGGTTGACATATATTGCGAGGGGGATATAGTTACCTTGTGTAAATACATAAATGGTTTATATACCAAATGTGTTGGAAGTTGTTTATTTTAACGTCACTGCAAAAGAAAAAGGGGGATATTTTACATCTGGAAGAAAAGACATTTAAGACATGAAGGTTTTTTTAGATTGAGAGCTATAAAATTGTGTAATAGACTTCTATAGGAACCATGTTTATGCAATTTAGTAGATTGCTGGCTGTATCTAAATGCACAGAATCCCTCCTAAGATGTTCTATTGGATTTAGGTCTGGAGACTGGCTAGAGATGGTCATTGGCAAACTTCAGACGGGCCTGGACATGTGATGACTTGAGCAGGGGAACCTTCCTGTCCAATGCATGATTTGAAACCATGACGGCGTAGTGTTCTACCGACAGTGACCTTTAAAACTGTGGTCCTAGCTCTCTTCATGTCATTGACCAGCTCCTCCCTTGTAGTTCTGGGCTGATTCCTCACCTTTCTTATCATCATTGATACCCCATGAGGTGAGATCTTGCATGGAGCCCCAGTCCGAGGGAGACTGACAGTCGTCTTTAGCCTCTTCCATTTTCTAACAATTGCTCCAACAGTTGATCTATTTTCACCAAGCTGCTTGGCAATTGCCCCGTAGCCCTTTCCAACCTTGCGGAGGTCCATAATTTTGTCTCTGGTGTCTTTTGACAGCTCTTTGGTCTCGCCCATGGTAGTAGTTGGTGTCTGACTGACTGTGGGGTGGACAGGTGTCTTTAAAGAGCTCAGACAGGTGCTACTAAGTTAGATTAATGAGTGGAGTAGAGGTGGACTTTTTAAAGGCACAGTAACAGGTCTTTGAGAGCCAGAATTCTTGCGGTTTCTTAGGTGTTCAAATACTTATGTTCAGCAGTGCAAGACAAATAAATTCTATAAAAATCATACAATGTGATTTCCTGAATTTTTTTTTAAATTCTGTCTCTCAGAGTGGGAATGCACCTACAATGTGAATTTCAGACCCCTCCATGATTTCTAAGTGGGAGAACTTGAAAAATCGCAGGGTGTTCAAATACTTCTGTTCCTCACTGTATGTGGCCCCGAACATGCCAAATGCAAGAAAAGCTCATTTATCTGTCAGTTCAGCTCCTAGACCTCCCAGCATATAACCATGTGCACCCAGAAGACTGCTAGACAGTTGCCTCTTTTTGGACTTACAAATTTTATTTTTGAGTGCTATAACTCAGGATTTTGGACCCAATGCAGTCCACATTATTTCCCCACTGGTCAGTGGAGTTGGAAGAGACTGTGCCCTAGAATTAGGTCCCTGTAGGTAAAGTCACTTAGTGTGAGAGACACAGGTTTACCCAGAGACATTGCCAATGGTCCTGCTGGGTGCCCACACTTATTAATACTTGTGGTGTTTTCCTAAGAGTGGTATAGTGTTATAGTCTTCTGTTAAGCTTGCTAAAGTATTACCCTATTAAATTTCAGTGTATGGATTAGCATTTTCATATACTGTGCCTATATTTCCTATTGTGCTTGTCAACCTTGTTATTGTATATTGCTTATTCACCATTTGATTTTCCTCTTTGAAGGCAAAAGCCCTTTAAACGCCACATAGTGTGTTGGTGAGTTTTGGGCTAGATTGGGTAGGTAATTGCAGGAGAGATGAAGACAGAAGAACCTGATTATTAGCAGCTTGTTTGGAGGTGAGTTCTACAAAACTTTAAATTTTCTTTTTTTGCAGAACAATATGCCTAAGGCATCTAATCAGGTTACAGCTTAAGATACACTGTGGGATTTTTGACTGCAGTAGGTGCACAGAGCCAGATGGTTTGTAGCAGACGTTCTGAGGGCAATCAACCTACATTGTGTCTACGCTGATGACCAGGGGCGGACTGACCATTTGGAAACTCGGGCACTGCCCAAGGGCCCGGGGTCAGTAGGGGGCCCCATGAGATGCCCCTGGTACCTTTTTCATAGGCTTTTTTGAGTTTGGGCAAGGACACAGGGGCCCCATGATCCCCTATTGCCCCGGGGGCCCCATGAGTTGTCAGTCCACCCCTGCTGACGACACCCAAATCCAGATCTCTACCCCTCTGCTTGCAACATTAATCTCCTCACTCCTCACATTACTAATTTATTAATGGATATATCAGTCTGGATGTCACACCACTTCCTCAAACTCAATCTATCCAAAACTGAGCTCATAATATTTCCTCCCAGATGTGCCTCTTCCCCTGGACTTGCCTGTCAAGATCAACGAAACCACTATCAATCCATCCCCGCTCACCAGGATGCTAGGTGTAATCCCGGTTTCTGAATTCTCCTTTCAGCCCCACATCCAATAACTGTCCAAAGCTTGCTGCCTCAACCTCCGCAACATCTTTAAAATATGCCCCTTCCTAACCAAAAAAAAAATACCCAGCTCTAACTTGCCAGCCAGCCTGCAAACAATCCGAATTAACATGTCTAACAGTGTGCGTTAAAAACAGGGGTTTAGTTATCACACATTTGCAAATACATGCGTAAGCTACAGAGCCATGTCACGGCACCCCAGTACTCTGTAGTTCCTAACTGCCTACCCCTCCTTAAAGGTACAAGAAAGCACTGGACACCCAGCATATAGCACAATGGCAGCTAAAGTGTCCAGTGCACCTCCTCGACCAACAATTCAACGGTAGAAAAGTAGTGTAGTAGTGTCCAGTGTGCTCCAGTACCTTTTTAAGGAGGGGTGGGCTCCCTCAGGTCCACCTGCCCTTGGTCTATCCATTAAATACATGTGCCTCTACTGTGGGGGCTCTTAAAATTTGTAGAACTATGTACAGGATGAGGACCGTAAACTTCCTTCTGTGAAACTGAAGCAAAAGTCCTTTCATAAGCATACTGTGGATTTGGCTTGGTAGTAGAAGTAGTTGAAAACAAAAAAAGCTTCCTTTTGAGCAATCAGAGCAGAGCTCCTTCACAGAAAATTAGATAGACTGAGCTCTTCAGGACACCAGTCGATGTTCCCTTTACAAAAACACACTGCTGACTTTCTAGCACCAGAGTGGTGGCAGCAGCCCAAAGGTCTCTAAGATCTCTAACAGCAGTCTGTACTCACAAATGTCCTTGGAAATTTGGTTGCCTCCTTCCAACATCCATGTGACACCTTTTTCCTGTGATAGCAGAATAGATATTTAGAGAAGTCCTCAGCCATCTCGCTGTAGCTTCAGAAAGCAGGTACTCAGATTGCCCACCTGAGGCCTCAGCACCTCGCTGGCACATGACAGGATAGCCTAGGGCAGCACACAGCCCCCCTTAGGCTGTGTTCCTCTCCTACAGGAATAGACCTGGTCTTTTTACAGACTCCCAGCAGCCATCTGGGCCAACCCCCCAGAGATTGGCCAGGGCTGTATATTCATGCAGCCTATTTGCCTTGCTCCACAACTACCGTATTTTTCGCTTCCATAGGATGCACTTTTTCCCCCCCCAAAACAGGGGGGAAAATGTCAGTGCGAATATGGAGTGGCTGGTCCGGTATTCCCACCGCCACCGTCGTGTCAGAATACCGGGTCAGCCACTTGTCTCTGCAGCAGAAACGTACCTGTTCCTCGGTCCAGCGCTGTACAGTCTTCTGGTGCCGGCATCTTTAGTGTGGGCAACCGGCTGTGACAGGCGGGTGACCACTGCACGTGACATGTCCCAGAAGACTCCGGACCAATCACAAAGCGCAGCGCTTCTTGCGCATGCACAGTGGGCACTTGGCTGTCAGCCGGGTGCTCACACTAAAGGGAAGACAACTCCGCGGAACTGGGAGTGGGTACCTGTCAAGTTCAGGTACCCGCTCCCCCTCCCTCCCCAAAGGTACCAGCTCCCCCCTCCCTCCCCAAAGGTCCATCAGTCTCAGTCTGGTCATCTCCTGTACTGTCTGCAGTCTCTGTCATCTCCTGCTGTCCGCAGTCTCTGGTCATCTCCTGTCATCTCCTGGTCATACTGTCTGCAGGTCTCTCCTGGTCATCCCTGTACTGTCTGCAGTCTCTGGTCATCTCCTGTACTGTCTGCAGTCTCTGGTCATCTCTCTGTACTGTCCGCAGTCTCTGGTCATCTCCTGTACTGTCTGCAGTCTCTGGTCATCTCCTGTACTGTGTCCTCAGTCTCTGGTCATCTCCTGTACTATGTCCGCAGTCTCTGGTCATCTCCTGTACTATGTCCGCAGTCTCTGATCATCTCCTGTACTATGTCTGCAGTCTCTGGTCATCTCCTCTACTATGTCTGCAGTCTCTGGTCATTTCCTGTACTATGTCTGCAGTCCACTGATTCAGAATATTTTTTTTCTTGTTTTCCTCCTCTAAAACCTAGGTGCGTCTTATGGTCAGGTGCATCTTATGGAGCGAAAAAATACGGTATGTTCTACACCTAGAGAAATTCAGTTCTCCAAAAAGCAAAAAGGCAGTAAAACTTGCAGCAGCTGAAACACAGAACAGACCAGAATAATCAACTCCGTCCCACTAATTACAGTGAGCACAACTAAATTTGCCTAACAACAAAACAGCAGCTCCACTGGATACAGTGAGCCAGAACTAAAATGTATTTAATCCTTGCACCTATCTAGGAGGTTGCTATCCTATTATGCAGGATTTTTATATAGCACCAGCAGTTTGCGCAGCACTTTACAACATGAGGGTAGACAACAGTTTTACAATAACATTCTAAGATGGAGGGTCAAGTGATACAAAAGGTAGTAACTGTGGGGGATGAGCTGATGGAGAAAATAAAAGTTGTTAGTTGTTAGTTCACATACCGTTGTCCAAACTATTTATTGCTTCAACAGCTGCTGGTTGGTAACTAGACCATAGTAGTTGCTGAATAGAGTCTTTATGCTGTGTACAGAAAAGCATATATAATGGAAGTTTAATTTTAAAAAAATGCCCTGAAATGTATGTTCATGAGAAATTAGCCTGAGTTGCAGTGATTAACCCCTTCCCATCTGTGATCTACATAATCCCCTGCATGGTGCACCACAGAGAACACATTCTGCAGCTGACACTCTCTAGCCACTTGACAATCACAATACGTATAAATATGTTGCGGTTGTTAAGTGGTTTACTATGGTTTTGGCTGAAGATATCAGTCATAAACCCGTGTTTTTGTTTTTTTTTCAAGTAGCTGACAGCCAGCTTTCTTCAATGAAAGCGGTCCCAGTGGCTCATTAGCCACTGGATCGCTTTCTAATCTCCGCCCACCCCCAGGCCGCTCGCCAGTGTTTCTTGGGCTTACCATTAAAACCGGCACGGCTGGGAAACAATCCAACAAGGCGGTCGGCTGTTGCCAGAGGTGATTAGACACTCTACTGTCTGTAATCGTCATGATGTCACCTCTGGATGTAAACAATCTTTTTTGCTTTAAAAAAAAAAAATCTGACAAGTAAAGAGGTCCTGTTGTGCCTATTTATATTGCAAGGGATGTTTACAGTACATTTCTTGAAATAGGAATAAAAGTGATTAAAAAAAAATAAAAGGACCATGTAAAAATAAAATAAATAAATTTAAAAATTAAAGTGCCCCCCCATCCCTCTGTGCTCACGTGCAGAAGTAAACGCATGCGTAAATCGCGAGCACATATGTAAATGGTGTTCACAGCACACACGTGAGGTATCGCCATGAATGTTAGAGTGAGAGCAATCATTTTAGCACTAGACCTCCTCTAACTCTAAACAGGTAGCCTGTAAAAAAATGTTATTCGCCTGTAGAGATTTGTAAGTACCGTAGTTTGTGGCCATTCCAAGAGTGTGTGCAATTTTAAAGCATGACATGTTAGGTATCTATTTATTCGCTGTAACATCCTCTTTCATATTTTACAGAACAATTGGGGTATATATTGTGTTCTTTGTTTTTTTTTTTTTAATTCACTAATTTGTTTTGTTTTTTTTTACCCAAAAAATTGTGTTTGAAAATCCGCTGCGCAAATCCCACGTGAAATAAAAAATTGCAATGATCTCAATTTCATTCTCTAGAGTCTTTGCTAATATATATATATATATATATATATATATATATAATATATATATATATACAATGGTTTGGGATTATAAGTAATTTTATAGCAAAAAATACTGATTAAAACGTACCAGAAAATGCTTGGTCTTCAAGTGGCTAGAGACCACTCTGATCAACAGTAGGGAGCTGCAAACTGCAGTAAGGGGGATGGGGGGCTGGAAGATTTGATTGGTAACAACTTTGAGTGGTAACTGAGCAAATCATAAACAAGATTAACATTTCTTCTACCACAGCTAGAGATGTGGCATTTCTGGAAATTTTGAAGCCCTTAAAAAAATAATATTTTTCCCTGTTTTTTTTCTAGAAAAAGTGGAGATTTTCAGAAAAATTTAAAATAAATAATTCAGTGTGGGTTAGTTTTACAAATTGAAAAGAGGCTTACTCAAGGAGTGCTGCTTGGCAAACAGTATGATGGTCGTAATTATTTAAAAGGTTCCTGCCAATATGCATTTTCAGTTATTGACAATGCTGATCCAGAAAGCACATATCAGTGTTCTGATTTCCAGGTGTCATTTTTTATTGATAAATGAAGAGATTGTATATTTTTGGAAGGTCCTGGTTTGCAACACTTCCTTACTTTTGAAAATGCTACTGGTGAAGAAACACTTTGTGATCCAGAAGCAGCAGAAAGCATGTTTCTGGAATGAGAACTCTAGAGGTAAAAGCATGCTGCACTTTCATTATTTTTTTAATGTCTTTAGGGCACCTCTCGCTCTGGGCACCTTTTGACATATTTTATTAGTGTGTTTTTGAAGTCATTTGCATGATTGCGACAATTCTGCCCATGATTTAAAAAGCCTATGTGAATGGAGCCTTACAGTTTTTTTTTGTTTTTGGGTTTAAAAGAGACGTGCAGGATTAAAAAAAAAACCAATTATACTCACCTAGCTGAATGCAGCATTGGTCAAATCATGCATCTGTCCCCCGCCACCTCGAAGACAAAGGACTGTCAGTCACTAGCTCTCTGCTCTCCCCCCTCCAACACTCACTGGAGTGCTGTGCTGTGGAGGGGGGTGGAAGCAGCTAGTGCAGACTCTCAGCTGTATGCTAAGAGGCTGAGCCAGCTGCCAGCCAGGCATCTGTGCAGATCCCGATATTAAAGTCGGGATTCTTCCAGAGTCTGAACCAGCTGAATACAGAGCATGCCTTGTGGCATTTGGAAAAGAATATTTTTGCTCACAATATTTGCAAATTGCAGCTTTACTCTCAGCAGAAATTGCCCTGTGGAAATGTTTCCAAACTATATTGGTCTCACCATTTTACTGAGAGGAAAAGAAAAAACTATTTATTGACCAGAATATAGGTAAACTGTGAGGGACCCCAGATCTGGCCGCGATCGCGCAGGGGTTTGCACATGTGCGGTGTGCCTGGCCACACTAGCATGCGAGCATTGGGACCTGGGCACCCGCGATGGCAGCGGCGCTCGCGCATGCGCACTCGCGATCGCAGATGCGCGCCTAGCACCAATCAGGGAGCAGGGCGCCCTATTTAAAACAGGTCAGGTCTGGCTCTAATTGCCGTATGGTCTTACCTGTATCCTGTGTTCCTGAAGATTAGATTGCTTTGTTGCCGACACTGCCTGACCTTTGATGTGCTGATTGTCTCCTGCTCTGAACCTTGGCTTGCCTGACCATTCTCCTGTCTTATCACACGTTTTGATCTTCTGTTACCGAACCCGGCTTGTGACCCGTTTATCCTTCTGTCTACTGTTTTGTACCGTGCTGCCTCCACTGCTACCGACCCGACCCCAGGGGCCGCAACCTGGTTCCGGCCTGCTCCAAGTCCATCCCCACCATCAAGGGCCCTGGTGAACAAGCAGGTTGGGGCTTAGACTCTGTGCCGTGGGGAATTACGGTCTGTGGAACGCTAGAGGCTACCACCGGCAGGTCCCTAACATAAACATTATGCTGTGATGTGGAGAACATTCATAGGAATCCATTAAAGGTTATACAGTAAATATAAACTAATTTTTCAGACAAATTCACCCCCTTACCTGTCAATTAAGGCCCGAGAGTAGGAAAGAAACGGTTATCTACTGTGTCCCAACAATTACCCAACTGGAGCCCAAAAGCAAGCTAAACTGGAGACTTCCCCTGCAGAAGCCCCCCAACCCATCCCGAGGCAGAAATGCATATTCCTCTTGTTTGAGAACTGCATTGAGAAGTACATCGTAACTTGAATTGTATTCCAGGATTTGCTTATCTTTAGCTGAGAGAACTTTTTTTTTTTTTTCAGGGAAAGAAACAAAAATGGCTTTGGAAAAAGACAAAAAAAAGTTGTTTTTTCTCCATTTGTGTTGTTTTTTTTTTTTCCACAGGCCTTCCCACCTCTAGCCACAGCTTTGTTATGGTAACACAGTGAATTATTTATAACAGTCAAACTGATTGAATGTGCATGTACTTGTTTGTATTGATAAAAAATTCATTAAAATCTACTGACAAGAAAATATTACAACAAAAATTGGTTTTCTTGGGAATGAATCTCCCCTAGGTACAAAATCCAGTCTGATCCAAGAAAATACCCACCTTTTTTGGGGGGGGGTCCCTGGTACATTATGAACTGATTTGTTGCTAAGGTTGGGGACTCTCCTATAAATACATTTTGAAGGAGTATGTTAACAAGCATATTATCTCTACATAAAATTATAAAAGTGTTTTTTTAATATTTTTTTTATTTGTTTATACTGTCGGTTATAGTCAGTAATAAAATCCATACTACAATCCTTTTCCGTTTTATCCTTATCCCTAAGCAGTTCATCTCTGTCCTTACACTGGACTTCTTGTCTCATCATGTTTAAACTATTTTACTTGGTACCCTTTGTCTTTAAACCTTTGAATCTATATTTCTGCCTGGTGATCAAAGCTTTTTATAGCCCCACAGTTTTGCCGAATGTGCATTAACTTGCCTTTAGGTATTCCCCCTCCCATTCCATTTGGGGTGATGGCAGCTAGCTGAGGGGATATAGCTATTACAATCAGTATCCTTGAAACAGGTGTATTTTGTATGTAAATGGCGGCTGTGAGGCTGATGACATTGCATACTGACCACTAAATGTGTTTAACGGGGCTACATGTCACATCCATCAGTTGGAACACATGCTGGAATGCAAATTATGGT